CAAATAAGACACATGTACTTTTGTCATCATGCAGGCAAACTAAAAACTATTTTAAGAAATGGCAGAACATAAAACACCTAAAGAACTTGAAAAATAAATGGTTTCTTTACTGAAAGAAAAAGACATGCTAGGACTCTTCTGCAATAAAACAAACATACCTGCCAGTTCCCAATCCTTTCCAAACTCTGCACTGAACCGTGCATGCGCTGCCCAGTAGTAAATCTATCCCGGCACAAAGGTGTGCTGAGAATGTTACAGTGTGTGCATTCCCCACCAGCCAATCAAGATGACCAAAGACCCGGCATCAGGAAGAAACTGGGAATAAAATGGTGGACGTCGCATCGCTGGAGCGGAGGTGAGTATTTGCGCCCTCCACTTTAAAAGGTGTACGGTCAGTTTAATTCTCACCATACACAGTACCATGTGACCATGCAATCACTGTAAAATAAACTTTAGATTCAGCAGGCCTATGTAATATGAGGGCCTGCTTTAAACTATCCAATGAATGGCTATCCAATCAGGCAGGCCTTTGCACTATATAGACATTGGTAGATCGAAAGGAGATTTTACAAGAAGATTGTAACGTGTGGTGAGCCTTACCTAAGCTATCCAAACAATTGATATCTAATTTGGCAGGATCTTATACTACATACTTGTTTATGGGTGGCCAACTCCAGCCCTTCAGCTGTTGTGGAACTACAAGTGTCATGAGGCATTGCAAAACTAACAGTTGCAGGCATGGCTCCCAGACGCAGAAGCATGTTGGGATTTATACTTAAAAATGCAGCTGGGGGGACGAGTTGCCAACCCCTGTACCTGTTTGAAGATCTAAAAAAGATTGCACAGTCAGATTGTAACTTGTGTGTGAGATGAAGACCCTGATTACACTTTTAGAACCACATATAGTTAGAAGAGAATTTATGTGGACAGAAGGACTCTCGCCTACTCCTGTACAGGTGAAACTCGAATAATTAGAATATCGTGCAAAAGTAATGGCAGTAATTGCTGCAAAAGGGGCCCAAACCAAGTACTGAGTACATATGCATGCTTGTACTTTTCAGAGGTCCGATATTGTTCTATGTACAATCCTTGTTTCATTGATTGCATATAATAATAATCTACTTTTTTGAGGTTGTGGATTTGGGGTTCTTGGGGTTTTCATGAGCTGTAAGCCATAATCATCACAATTATGACAAATCACGGCTTGAATTATCTTGCTTTGCATGTAATGAGTCTATCTCATATATTAGTTTCAACTTTTAAGTTGCATTAGTGAAATAAATGAACTTTGCACGATATTCCAATTATTCGAGTTTCACCTGTATGTATTGGATATTTACTGCAGTCAATGCTTTCATTTCACTTTGGAAAAAATACACAGATACTTTTTTTTTTAAACTTTCAGCGAATTCCTAAAAGGATCTCTTGACATCAGTTACCACACATAAAGTGAACCGAAGAAACTATTTTATAAAATATGTCACAGCTTATTAGAGTGAACACATCCCACGATACAGTAAATAATGGATGTTCACATGCATGTGACTTTACAGATTTGTATGTGCAAGAAAAGAGCCAGGAGGGTGTTGGCAATCAGATCCATCAGCAAAAGGTATTAACATCAGACCGTTTATACAGAGAAATGCGTTATGTGACCACCAACTTAAACTGGCAGCCTGCTGCATAAGGGCACCCCCATGCTTGATCTTTTTGGATAGAGTAAATCCCAGCAGTTTTTTTTGTCTGTATGTCCACTAGGAGGGGTTAACCCTCTCCTTTTCCTAGAGAGCACCATCACCCAGAGAGAAAGTGAGGGAAAAAGTTAAATATCGAGTTGTTACTGGAACAGGGATGGAGAAGAAGTCTTTCAAGTGGGACACCTGTTGCAATGACAATTGTCTTAAGCTGGCCATACACCTCTAGATTATCTGCCGATTTGCTATGGTCAGATGGAAAAAATTGCAACAGATTCCTCCATCTATGCTAAACTGTGTGGATGGAGGAATCTCCCGCTGGGCCAAGCTTTAGTATCTTGCTCAGCCCCCCTGGCTCTCAAAATGCCTGCATCCAATTAGATTGTTCAGGTATTTTGAAAGCCAGTGCGGCCGACAAGCTGAAGCTTGGCCGAGTGGGAGATTCCTCCATCCACACATTAGCGCAGATGGAGGAATCTGTTGCACTTCTTCCATCTGACCACAGAAAATCTGCAGATAATCTATAGGCGTATGGCCAGCTTAAAAGAGCATTTCTCTCGCTTTGAAGAGATTTCCTTTTACTTCCTATTTTTGGAAGTGAATGAAAATTTCCCCAAAGAAAGCCAAACAGCATAAACATGTTCCTACCCCAGAGATGCTGTAAGAACACAATATTCATTTATTCTATTTAGATCATTAACTACATGGACTCTGAAAATGAAGGACACAAGACTTAAATTACCTTGTAACAGCAGACATGCATTGCATCCTCTGACATTTTCTCTAATTATCCAGCATGTAGGTCATTTGATAAAGATCTCTCAGGCTGATGCAGGACTACAACTCCCATGAGTCTCTGTGAACCATCAGCAAGATGATAAAACCAAGCTCAGCCCATGCATTTGGAGAAGTACAAACCACAAGCTTCTAAAAATAAATGGCTTAATTTGTGAGTAAGAGAAGAGAACAAACTGTGTCCAGCCATAGCAGGATGCTTCATTTATAGCAAGGTAAAGAGCAATATCCAAATTACATTACCCTATAACAATCAATGACCAATGATCTTTTAATAGCCTGCTGTAAAATAAAGAAAGGTGACGTTTGGATTCATTAGTATGGCTTGCTTAAAATCTGCCTTGTTAAAGTGAATCTGTAAAGAAAGAAATAAGTAAGCCATGACTGTTTCCATTTTATTTGGTTCTCACAGGTCCCCCGTTAGGCCCTTTTCACACAGTCCAATCAGGAGGGGATCGGAGCGCGGATCTCCTCCTGATCGGAACGGATGTCACCATTGTGAAATCCGTGTCCGTGCAGTTTTTCCTCCATCGCAAATATCCGACATTACTGGACCCAAGTTAGTCTATAGGCAACTGGATTTAAATCGACGTGTGTCTGTTTACATCCGGTTAACCCTGAACTGGCAAGATCAGGTCCGGTGAAATGGATCTCGGATCTGTTTGCTTTTCCAGACCTGGCCGGAGCCAGGGGGTAACCAGGTGGGCGTGGGGTAACCAGATGTAAACGGATGGGCGTGGGGTAACCGGATGGGCGTGGGGTAACCGGATGTAAACGGATGGGCGTGGGGTAACCGGATGTAAACGGATGGGCGTGGGGTAACCGGATGTAAACGGATGGGCGTGGGGTAACCGGATGTAAACGGATGGGTGTCCGTTTACATATGGCTGCCAATAGACTAACATCGGGCTTTTGATCAGAAAGCCCATGTGGGGTCTTAAAAAACTCAACTCCAAGACAAATTTAAAAAATAAAATGAAAAAAACATTCAATGTATTTTTTAAAAGTGCAGTAAACCGACTTTGACTTGGTATCAGTCCAATGTACAGCAGATCTCAGACTGGAAAATAGAGACTCAATCAGTTGTGCCGCAGTGCTCATGTGCCAGTAAGGAGCAAGCAGAGAGAGATGAGCTTATCATTCTGCTGCTGCTCCTTTCACTGTTCCATCACAAACTCTGGGAGGGACAAGACCTGTAAGTGTCATCTGCAACCCAGAAACGGTCTTCTGTCTTGTCAGACAGGGTTGTGCTATGGAAAAGGGTTGTGTACATCTGAAATACAAATCATTTGCTTAGACAAAACATCTCCCAAATATGTATTTTATTTGCTTATTCAGTCTTAAATAAAATGTCAGTCCACTCAGAAGTGATATTTCAGATACAGAGTGGGATCCCCTCATAAGCGCCAAGGCAGGTATATACGTCTATCCACTGGGGTTTCGAATGGTTCTATGATATCCAGCATCTCATAAACCAACATATCAATTATGCTCAGACTGATCCTAGAAGGATGAATATCGGCCTCCAAAACTCAGGGGGGAAAAAAAACCCATTCTGATGTTTTATTTAAAACATTAACAAAACATTTCACTCATTTTCTCATGCAGCGTGCAACTCAAACAGCGACTCCCAAAACTCTTCCATTGACTGACAGATCACGCAGGAAGTTATCTTATCTGCTGGGCAGCCGCGTCAGATGTTCTCTACAGCTACAAATTGAATTCAGAAGAATTGATGCCTGTTTCAGCATACATAACAGCAATGCAGACTCAGAATAAGAGAAGGTGAGCAGAGAAAACAATGAGCCATTATAAATATCAAAACATTTCCTGTTTATTGAGCAACATACCTTGACTTTCACCAGGCGCTTGACGGTTTTAATCTTTGCCTCGCAGAAGGCACCCCGGTATTTAGCACTGACATCGGTTCCCACTGTTAGGTAGGCAGGCTCATCGGCTGCCTAAAAATGAAAACAAAAGAAAATGGTAACTACAGTAAATGTAAACGAATAAAAAAAACAGCTGAAAGCAACTTTTATTCTCAATGAACATTATTGAACAGATCAATGCATGACCTGAAATGTTTGGTCAGATGGATCAAAGTATCAAAAGCAGAACGAATAACAACAACAAACATCTACATGGCTTCCTTCCATCCTTCTGCTTTTAAACTCTCCATTTCACGAGAACTGTCACTTAGCATGCTGTAGCACTGGGGGCAAGGGAAGGTTTAAAGTGCAACTGAAGCCAAAACCTTTTTGTTTTGTTATGGATAGAGTGGCGATGGATTAGGAGACCTGTCAGTTTTTATTACAGTCTGTGTCCTTGTTAGGGAGATTCACCCTCCCTATTTCTGCTGGTGACCGTTATCACTGAAAGAAAATCCAAAAAAGTCTCCCCAAAAAGGACACAGAGGCAGGAAAAAAAAAAAAAAAGCTAACAGGGGTTTTAACCCTCCTCTACTTCATCCAAAACAAAAAAAATTAAAAAAAAACACAACATTTCGGCTTAAGTTCTACTTTAAAAAAAAAAAAGAGAACTATGGGGTAACCTTTTTATCCCATAGTTCTCTTAAGGGTCACAGAAGGACATATACAAAATGTCCTCCTGCGACCCAAAGCTCAGTATATAGTGAGCTATTGCCCGCGATATATTGAGACCGCCACAGCTGCGATGGATCCCGACAATACTGCCGAGATCCCCCCAGCTGGCTGATTGACAGCGGGCTCTGCCTACCTAGCGGCAGAGCCAGCTGTGCCCGCCCCCTCCCTGTTCGTTCCCCCAGTTAGTGCTGGAGGATCGGAGAGGAGGAGGAATCCCTGCGGGGAGCTGTGACAGACCGTCACCGCTCTCTGCAGGGAAACGATCGGGAAGTGAGTGAGCGACGGTATGTGTTCACTCACTTCCCGATCTATCATGCCGACGTGTGACAGTTTAATTGTCACACGTCGACTCCAACTATGAGGTTGAGTGTAAATTACTCACCTCACAGTTCTCCTTTAAGTTGATGTACTGGCAATGCCTGCACCATGAAAATGGCAGGGGCTCCAAGCACTGGACAATCATTGGACAAGAAGCATACCAAGTCAATACTAATACAACAGGCTGGAAAACAAGACACACACACACACGTCCGGTGACTTTGGTGACCACGTTTGAACAATTGTTCTATCCTGGCTGCAATACCTAGCATTTCAACTAATGTTTTGGGGCCAATAAACCACCATGACAGCCAGGCAGCTGGCACTTTCAGAAGGAGACGTGAACAATTACCGTTCACCATATACTTGCTTTAAGCGCAAAGCTTTACAGGCCAATTGTACACCCACATGCCACTTGCATACATGTTATTACTGTATTTATAAATACAATGTATGTAGGTGGCCTTTTATATGTTACAGTCTCACCATGAATAGGGCAACGTTCATTATTTGTTAGTGTATAATAATAATAATAATAAATAATAATAATAAAAGACAACATTTTGAAATTGGACCAATATAATTAAACACATGGCAAAAATACACACTACTATTACAACTACCATTACAGAAAGGGTGGCGGACATTCTGAAAACGAGAGCTGCCTGGCTGCCATGCTCAGCCACCGGGTTCAGTACTTCAACTTACTGGCCTGTAACAATTGTGCAGACAGGAACTCTTCATTTTCCTTTGACATCATAATTTACATATATGCTACTTATGAGTGATTTAAAGTACGAAAGATAAAAATCTAACCTAACAGCCAAAAAACGAGGAGTTTCAGAAGGAAGTCAGCAATGACAGGCCATATATTAAAAAAAAGTTGACTTTATTATTACTGAACCCGATCTGGGTGTGTATGCAGTCACTGCTCAACAAGGGTTTGTATACCAAATGTGCTTTCCTGTACAATAGAAAAGCACATTTTCACATCTTCACATCTTCCATCACCTTAGCCATGTTTTGAATGGGAAAATCTGCACCGATACAAATTGTGTTTGACCCTTCTGCCCAGTGACGTGAAGTCATCATCATCAGACCATGGTGGCCATTTACATACGTGCCAGTGGGGGCTTTGCCAAGTACAAAGGGAAATTGTCAGAACTTTCTTCAATGCAGAAGATTCGAATTAGGCTTAGCTGAGGGAGATGCCCATGAACCTACCGGCATGTCCGGACAGTGGCAAGAAATCTGCTCTCCTAAAGAAAGCCTGCAAAAGTATAGAGTACATACAAACTCCATGCAGATAATATAATGGATCTGGCCTAGAAAGCCAACGTTGCAAGACAAAAGTGTTCGCATGTTGTAGTTACCTACCCCAAAGAAAACACACACATAATGCGAGTGATTTAATATGAGACTTTAGGGCTACATGCATGAGAGAGAATCATATGACTTATGAAAAAAATAGAAACATTTTCATGTTAAGAGCCTTGACATGAAGTTACACACACATCTAAAAATTGTTTCATGATGAAGAAAAAAAAAACAAAAAAAAACATCTATATTCATCTCATTTCTACTTTATTACCATCAACCTCTCCATGACTATATAGTACACCCTCTAGGGCTTGTGGAAAAAAAATACTATGACAAAATACAAATTACTAAGGCTTGGTTCACACTAGGGATACACCGATACCGGTATTTCGCTATCGAGAACGAGTACTGATATTTTTCTTTTTGGTACTCGCCAATACAGAATACCGAGTACGGGAAGTCCCATTCAGGATGCCAGTCGGTGTGTAAAGACTCGCCACCTGGCCTCCTGATTAGCCGGGAAGCCGTGCAGCGTGTAAAAGCTCGCCACCCGGCTGCCTGATTAGCAGGGAAGCCGCACCCATGCTTCTCATCACTAGGTAACAAGAAAGCATGGAGCCGGCTTTCTGGCCAATCAGGAAGCTGGGCGCTGCGTCATAACAAGGCGCCGTGTCATTACAAATCACCTGGCTTCCCGATTGGTTGGGAGCTGGCTCCATGCTCTCTCGTCACAAGTGCGTTTTTGATGCATTTTTGATGCGTTCCAGTGTATTCCAGACCAGACAAAATAGAACAAGCAGTATTTTTCTGGTGTGGTCTGTAACAGACTGCACTGGTGGGAACAGCATAAGGATAATTGGGATGCATTTTGGGTCCGGAAACAGTCTGGTGGTAATCTGGTTGTGGTGTGAATGGTCCCTTAAAGTAATAAAATATAAGGCTTACGACTCAACTGCTAGTTTAACAGAACACTTTCAGATCCAAAAACAGCCCAACATGACAATTATTATTATATTACTACCACTACTAGTATTATTATTATTATAATTATTTTAGACACATTTATCTGTTAGGATTGTCTTTGACAGCTCAAGCAAAACAAACAAAGACTTGTCAAGAGCATGCACTGGACAGCTAATTCCTAAGCACCTATCCAAATAAGCAAAATAAGGTAATGTTTTACAAAATAGTGTTCCAAAACAAATCTACAAGGTGTTCAGAGGCCTGATCCTGATCAGCATTTTTAACAAGAAAACAGATCAATTCTCAACCAAGTCAGTGAGGAAATGCTCCGATCTAATACACATCACTATATCAAAGAGGGGGGGGAAATCACACCGGGACTATGACGAGCATGTGAGACATTTTCAGTTGCAAAGAATCAGACTAAAGTTGCAGAAACTTGCTCTTCAAGTTGCAATAATTAAAAAGAGAACTATGGGGTTAGGGCTTTTCCCCATAGTTCTCCTTTGTGTCCTCCCGTCACCCTAAGCTCAGTATAGAGCGAGCTACAGCTAGCCGTATACTGAGACGCCGCAGCTGAAGCGGATACCGACAATTATGTCTGGATCCGCCCAGCTGCGTTTGTGACAGCTGGCTCTGCCTATCTAGAGGCAGAGCCAGCTGTACCCGCCCCCTCCCCCAGTCAGCGTTGGAGGATCAGAGTGGGGAGAGGGGAATCCAGTCCCTCCCCTGTCACGGCAGAGAACTGTGACAGGATCGAGAGGTGAGCGAACGCCGGTATGTGTTCGCTCACCTCCCGATCTACTGAGCCGACCTGTGACAGTCTCATTGTCACAGGTCGGCTAGAACTATGAGGTGAGTGAAAAGCACTCACCTCATAGTTCTCCTTTAACCAAACAATAAAACAGCTTCATACACAAATTCTATCAGGATAATGAAGAGCATAATCTATCAGCTACAACATTTAGAAAAAAAGGCTTAAAAGAGAACTATGGGGTAAGTGTTATTCCCCATAGTTCTCTTAAGACCCCGTTCACATTGACCGATTTATCGCACGGTAATTCCCACAATATCGCAGCAAATTACCGCGCGATATCGCGCTCCAATGCAAGTCCAATGGGGCAAAGGGTCCTGCTGTCGCGGGTCGTGTGTCGCTACAGCAGGACCCTTTTTGGAGCGGATTTAGCCGCGATTCAAGCTTGCTCAATGCAAGCTTGAACGCGACATCGTGCGGCAAATCTCGCGATGTCGCGCAATATGCAAATCGCGTGACAAACGCGCGATTTGCATATCGCGCAGTGGGAACGGGGCCTTAGGGTCACGGGAGGACATATACTAGCGCCCTCCCGTGACCCAAAGCTCAGTATATAGCGAGCTACAGCTCGCAGGAAACTGAGACCGCCGCAGCCAGGACAGATCCCGACATTCCTATCGAGATCCACCCAGCTGAATCAGTGACAGCGGTACCCGCTCCCTCCCCATCCATTCCTCCAGTAAGCGCTGGAGGATCGGAGAGGGCTGGGGGAATCCCTGCAGGGAGCGGTGACAGACAGTGCAGAGAGATGATCGGAAAGTGAGCGAGCGACGGTATGCGTTCGCTTACTTCCCGATCTATTGAGCTGACGTGTGACAGGTTCAATGTCACAGGTCAGCTCTAACTACGAGTGGAAATCACTCACCTCATAGTTCTCCTTTAAGCTGGCTACACGCTGAGTGCGTGGCTCTGTCAGCACAAATCTTTTGACAACAGTCGATTTTTTTTCAAAAGTAACTTGTGGATGGAGCTGGTCTGAAAATTCACTGCCAAACAGTGATGGCAGGCAATCAGCTACAGTCACTGTTCAGGTATCCTGACAGCAGCACACATTAACTGTCAGTATACAATATCCCAGCATGATGGATGGGGGGGCGGCTGAATGAGAGAAAATGCAGTGTATGGCCCGCTTTGTTAGATCAATATGGCAAGTATAAAAAAGACAAAAAACAAGTGCTTTAATCCAGCAATATCTCACCTAACTTTGTCAGTTTTACACTGCGCTAAAAATGCATCACAAATATTAAAAGGATTGCCTACAGCACAAAAAAAGTAATCAGCTAAACTACACAAAAGCAAAACAGGTGGCAATCAAAAAACAAATGCTGACCTAGGTATATAGAAAACACAAGATATAAATATACAACAGATGTTACACTACAGCAATGTAGCAGGATCAAAGCTGACATGAACATTTCCTAACCCTGGCAGTAAACCAAAAGTATGTCTACCTTCAAAAAAACTTTTAGCTTTATAATGATTAAATCCAAGCCAGGAAACCACCTCCGCAGAACCAATCACTACGAGAATAACTCTGACATTAGTAAACAACGAACCGTGCAATGTATGTCGTGATCCAGGGGCATCTCATTTCAATTGTATAGAGTAAAGTAAATAGTTAGGGTTCTTCCACACAAATTACCCCGACAGCGCAGACAAACAGAAATCGGAGGAGCAAAAGAGAACACCATGCTCTATATATAAACACCTACAACTCAGAAACTACCTCCGGGATATTAAGACAAACAAGGCTATTCACAAGAGTTTGGAGAAGGCAGGAGAAGTGAACAATCTAGGACAACATAGTCGATTTGGAAAAGTTCTCCAATCCAGCTCATTTTCCCGATCAGCTATGTTGTCCTAGATTGTTCACCCTAACTCTTCACCCATTTGTGAATAACCCTGAAAGTTTCTTCTCAGTAGATTAGAGCATGTACATGTCATTTCTGTCCCCCTGTCCTGTTTATTACAGCTCAGCACTTGTCAGTCTCAGACTTGCTACAAGCTGCTATTTAGCCGAGACCGTGAAGACAGAGAAGCCAGAAAGATGAGGGAACCCCAAAAACATTTGACTGAAAGCCACCGAATGAAGTGCAGGTAGGTAAACTTTGCTGCTGCAAGACTAATTAATAGGAACAGTAAAATTAAGCCTTGCATGTATGCTAAACATGATACACCTACACAAATCAATGAACAACCGCTTACCTTCATCGTCAAAGGTTATTTGAGGGATTCCAGCTCGAAGATTTGTCGTCACTACAGCTATAAGAAAAAGAAAAAGGAGGAACATTTAGACACAGCACATTTTGCTTTGGCTTTTATAAAAGTTTTTTTTTTTTCACAGACCATCCCAAAAACCCATACAGACTTTGTCCATAGATACTGGCTAGTCATGAGCAGGACTGGGCAACGATCACAATGTCCACTGCTCCTCTCACCCAAAACTCCCCATTTACTAGAACCCCGGGTTAGATTTGCAGCAGAAAGCCTATTCCAGAGAATTTACTTGTTTTCCGAGAAGCAGCTGACAGTTGTGTTTAGCTAAGCATGCTTGTAGGACTGGACAGTGTTATAGCCACATGTAGTGAAAGGAAAAACAGACTTTGCTTGTAATGTTTGCAAACACATAACTAATATTATACATTTACAAATACTTTAGGAGAATCTCCCAGGAAAAACTGAGACCCGACTGTCTGCAAAGCATTCATAGGTCACTCCTGACTTGATACACCATGACAGGACAAACTGTAAGAGACTTTAGAGCATGCAGAAACATTTCTTCAAGCGGCCCTGTAGTCAAGAATGGTAATGATGTGTCACCTGTACAGTTCAACTGCCCCGGGACAGGCAACGTGCAAAACTGCCCCGGGACAGGCAACATGCAAAACTGCCCCGGGACGATGTATAAAGCACTTGTATCGACTGAGTATACAGCACAACATATTGCCAACCCAAACCTAGCCTGCAGTCCGCTCACACATGCTTCGACTGTCAGATAACAACATAAACATAATTGCACCATCAAGAGTCTGTGGGCAACTCACTGGAGTGAAAGGTATCTAGCAAAGTGCTCACAGACATTCCCTTCATCAAATGTGTGTGGGCACCCCAGGGGAGAGCCAGCAAGGCATTTGGTGAAGCACCTATGAATATCTTGCACCATTAATTATCAACATATGTCGGTGGGCACCTCAAAAGAGACACAGTAAGAGGTGAGGTGCCCAATGACATTAAATGCCTGTGGACACCTCAGCAAGAGGTGAGGTGCCTACAGACCGCACCAACATCAATGATCATCATGGCCTGTAGGCACCTCAAAGGAGAGAAAGTGAGAGATATCTGGTGAGGTGCCCAGACATCTCTATTATCAATGGTCACTAAATGACTGTTGGCACCTCAAGAGAAAGGCAGCAAGAGTTGAGGTACCCACAGACATGTGTATTAATCATCATCGTATGTCTGAGGGCACCTCAACACAGGCAGCAAGAGCTGAGGGGCCCACAAACATCTCTATCACTAACAACCATTAGGAGGTCGTTGGGCACTTAAAGGAGAGAAAATAAGAGTTATCTTGTGAGGTGCCCACAAACATCTCCATCACCAGTGATGTCTGTGAGCACCTCAGGTGAGGCAGCAAGGGATGAGATGCCCACAGACATCTCCATCATCATTGGTCATTTAATGTGTGTGAGCACCTCAAAAGTTAGCTGGTGAGAGGTACGTAATGAGGTGCCCACAGACATTCCCAATCATTATCAAATATCTGTGGCCACCTGTAAAGAGGCAGCAATAGTTGAGGTGCCCAATGACATCTCAATCATCAATGACCATCATATGTCTGAGGGCTCATCAAGAGAGGCAGGAGGATGTGACCTGCCCAATGATCATCATATGTCAGTGGGCCCCTGAGGAGAGGCAGGAAGAGGTGAGGGGCCCACTGACATCTCCACCACCATTAACCATCATATGTCCATGTTAAAAAAAAAAATAGACTGTTTACAGTGTTCTATTTTCTTCAAAATGTATCATTATATGTCAGTGGGCCCCTGAGGAGAAGCAGAACGGGTGAGGGGCCCAGAGACATAACCACCACCATTGACCATCACGTGTCAGTGGGCCCCTGGAGGAGAAGCAGGAACAGGTGAGGGGCCCAGGGACATATCCACCACCACTGACCATTACATGTCAGTGGGCCTCTGAGAAGAAGCAGGAATGGGTGAGGGGCCCAGAGACATATCCACCACCATTGACCATCATATGTCAGTGGGCCACTGAAGGGAAGCAGGAACAGGTGAGGGACCCACATACATCTTCATCACCAGTGATCATCATATGACAGTGGGCCCCTGTAGAGCAAAGCAGTAAGAGGTGAGGGGCCCACAGACATCTCCATCACCAGTGATCATCATATGTCAGTGGGCCCCTTAGAAGAGTCAGCGAGGGATGTATGTGACTGTATGGCTACCCTCCATAGCAGGCTGTGTCAGCGGAGGAATGGATGGCACACAATGCCGGCTGGTGGCCGGTCCTCCTGCAGAAGAGGATTTCCTGTGTCGGTGTGTAGAGGGGGGCCGCCAGGCTTTGTGTTGCCTGCCAGAGACAGCTCGGTGTGTCACGTCGCCATTGCTGTATGTGTGTCACCGGGCCGCACTCCCTCCCCGCACGGCTCCTTTGTGGAAGTTGTGTGGAGAGCGCGGTGCCCATCCAGGGAGTAGATCCCCCTCCTCTTCCTCAGAGACCACCATGACAGGCACCGAGACAGCTCGTACAGCCCGCTCCGCCGACC